TAGACGCTACACTTAAAGATGTTAAGCAGCAGAACTCAGAGCAGAATTCTTCCAGGCAGTTCTTCCTCCAAACTTGACAAGCTATATTGCCATCATACAATGAGTTTGAAATGAAGATAATTAACTCCCCTTGCATTTCTACGGTAGTAAATCACTGCTGAGCTTATGGTGAACCCAGACACCAAGTGATTTTCCTTGGAACAGCACAGACTGAGGCTTGAATTCTGAGTGATGATGTGTCTACTGATGGTTAACCACGGGTATGGATGTGGAGTTTCACTTGGCCTGGAGATGAAACCTTCTGTTTCAGGCATCCTTTGCTTCTCTGGTGAAGGACACAGCACAAGTCTGAACCCAAAGTCAAATCCTCATTTTGAAGCCAGAGCCAACCCTTGGTTGAGCTGGGCCACTCTTCACAGGGGCGGCTGAAGGAAGCATCCCATCTGACAACGTAGGCAAATTCCTACTGTTCACTCCTCACTTAAGCACATGCCTCATTAGCAGCAGCACGCCAATGTTCCGGACTCGTGTGGGTGATGAGAGCTTGGCGTGGCTGGCAGCCAACAGCAGGGTGATGGAGGGAGCACCAACAAGGCCCTTACCTGGAATCTGGTAGGAGATGCTTGGGGTGAGGCCCACAGGATACAACAGGAGAACCACATCACCCCCTTTACACGAGAGTGTAGCATAGCACAAGATTGGGGGGCAAGAATCTGTCACTTGGAGTCAGGCAAATGGCTTTTCTGGGCAGAGCTGGGATGTGAGAGCGAGATGCAGAAGGGCTGGAGGAAAGCAGCGTAAACAGAGCAGCAGAAGGAAGCTGTGTGCAGCCTGCCCAGGGCTGGCACTGCCGTCTGTCCGCCTGTCTGTCTGTGGGTGTGTGGGGCCGGAGCCAGCAGCCATGGGGCAGCCACACCTGAGCCCAGACAGCCTCAGCACTCCCAGCTCTGCGGTCTGACATTTCACAGGGACAGCAGCAGTGGGTGGCAGGGGGAGCGGTGACATTTGGGAGCTGGGCAGCATCACCCAGCCTCACCTCCAGCACACAAGGACTGCAGCCGTGCTCCCTCCTGCACCACCTGTCCTGCTCTGCAGCAGCCCTGCAGGCCTCCTCTGCTGCTTTCTCCAGGAGGCAGAGCACACCCAGACCCACGGCAGGGAGAGGGGCACAGAGCCCAGCTGTCAGCTTCAGGGGCTTCTTAAAAACCACTGCAAGTGAAAGGTGCTTTAGAACATTGAGCACCAATGTTGTTAAGCGAGCACTGTAGCTCAGCCACAGGGACCTGCTAGGAGAGGATTCCTTTCCTCTCTCAGCACTGCTCCTACCCACAGTAGAGCACTCTGTCATCCATTATACTTGCTTCCTTCGATGCTGCGTACAAAACTTCTCCCCCCTCACCCTTTGCTGGAGCAACTGAGCCCTTGTGCTCTCTATCAAAAGTATTCTTTCCACACAACAGGTCCCACACATCTGGCGTGCGTTGGGATTAACAATTAAATCCCACACATGAGACAATGGGAGCTGCATCTGCAGCCAGCACTGCTCACAGCCACGTCCACGTTCCTGGTCTGAGCCCAGGCAGGCTGCAGGAAGTGAGACCCTCCTGGCACTGCTCTCCTCCCAGGCTGGGTCAGCTCCAGGAGCTGCAGCTGTAATTAAGTTAATCACCAGATTGCAGGAGGCTGTGGGCGAGGAGGTAGGAGAGGCTGGCAGGCAATTAGAAAGCAGATGATCACTTTGTTTTCCTGTCTCCCCACGGATGCCACTGCTTTGCTGAGATGCTGTACTGAGTCCCAGCCTGGAGAAGCACAGGAATCATATGTGGGTCCAGCAGAACACTTGGCTATGAGCACACCTTTGTCCCCAAGACATGCATGAGATACCTAAGGACTCCTCTTCTCTGTAGGTGAAGTAGGATAGGATTACAGCATCATGAAGGTTGGAAAACACCTCTAAGTCCATTGAGTCCAATTACCACCCCAAGGACACCTGTGCACAAGGAAACCTCTGCTGAGCTTTGATCCTGCCTGCATCCATCACAGTCTCTTATTCTAGGGTGAGGAAATCCATCTCACGCAGTCGATCCTTAATACTTACAATGAATAAAATCCCCATTTTATTCAAGCAGTTTTGCCTATGCAGACTCCAGCAGTTCTGGGATCCGCCCAGCAGTTCCCCAAAGCCATACCATCAGCCGCAGGGCTTCAGCAACCCACCAGGGCAACGCACAGAGGAAAGCCAGAGCCAAAGTTCTTCTAAAATATTGTACCTGTTGTAACTGCAGGGCTCCACGGGGCCTCTTGTGCAACATACAGAATAGTGACTTACAGAGACCAGATCCATTCAAAGAAATCAGAAAGGGCTGAAAGGGAAAGGAGCAGGGAGGACAAAGAGAGGTGGACAGGAAAGCACTGCGTGTGCAGTGCAGTAGCCAAGAAGTTTTGGACCCCAGCCATTTTGTTGGGCTTCTACCCCAAAAAATAAGGCCCCTAGTGTTAGGTTCGGGTTCTCTCTTGCACTCTCACTTTTTTTTTTTTAAATTTCCATAAAAACCTAATGTTTTCTTGCCAAAAATATAATAGCAGGGCCAAGGAGCTGTACTGTGCGTGGAATACCGGCTGCACAGTCATAAAAGTCTGAGAACAGCAGCAGTATTTAGCCAGGAGAGACAATGGGAGTGGAAAATTGTGTTCATTCAGCTTTTCTTGTGGAGTCAAAGGCAGCTGGTGAGCATTGAGAGCCTCCTAAAAATAGGAAAAAAAAAACCTTAAAGGAAATACGCGAAAGTGAGGGCAATGTTTCCAGCAGAGCTGTTCTGTTAAAGCTATCTGTAGGTGCTCTTGACTGTGCAGACCTGCGAGCGAAGAAGGAACGCACCCCAATCTGCACCTCTCCCGTGTCAGCTGTGGTGCTGGGACCCTGCTGTGCAGAGCCCACAGCTGCAGGGTGGGCTCCTCCGCTCCCTCCATCAGCTGCCAGGAGACATCAGGTGCCTTTCATCCTCTGAGAAGGGTTGAAGGAAAAAGTAGCTTCCAGTAAACTGCACAGCACCACTGGCCTTGGTTAATGCTCAGCAAAGCAGTACGGCCTGCCCAGCTCATGGGGTGACAAGCAGGCTGCTGCCCAGGCAAAGCACAGTAGCTGTGTGGAGCTGAACCACAAGTAAAGTATGAACCAGGGGAGGCGACTGTAAAACTTGGGTTGGGTCCCTTGGAGGGAGGTTAATGCTTTCAGATTGAAATGGGTCTGGAGCAGTTCAAGGCTATGGGCAGTGGGGGAGGAACTGGCCAGGAGCCGGATCTCAGGGCTAGGTAGGCAACAGCTGGGGAAACTCATATCTGATGCAGTGCTGCTCACTGGGCATTGCTCCAGCCAACACAGCGCCTGAAATACAGTGAGGACAGTAGTGAGAAGCGTAAAGCAGCACATGGCAGCACCTGCCTTCTGACCCTGCACAACTCGGAGCCCTGCCTGCAGCAGCGCTCCTGGGACAGAGGCTCTGCCAGACAGAACCCAGCCCTGGGGAAGAGAATGCTTTGCTTTACTCTCCTTGGATATCTCATGCTGTTCTGAGAAAGACCTGTAATACAATAAAAAGTGCAGCAATATCAGCAGAGCAGCAAGGACCTAAGCTGCAGCAAGTGAGGTTTTTCTCCAAATACAACAGCTTTGAGCACAGAAACAAAGGAAAGAAGCTGCTTACCTTTGGAAAGCCTCAGGTATACAGGGATCTCCAGTGAGATCCCCTTACCTCCACTGCCAACCCTTACATGAGGGCAGGGAAGGGGTGGATCCTGCTCCAGCCCCTCCATCACTCAGTACACTGCACACAGCTGAGCTCCTCCAGTTGGCCCTGCCTTCCCACCAGGTGCTCCATCACTGCTTCAAGACCTTCAAAGGGGCACATCTGAAAGAAAGGGATGAAGTCTGGGAACTGACCAGAGAAATGGCTGGGCATGTTTTCAACAACAGCAGTGAACTCTTATTTCCATGGTTACAGTCCTTAGTGATCAAAACTTTAAAACAAAAATTGGCACTTTCACATATTTTTATCTTCTGCATGCTTTGGGGATCTGCTTGGAGGAATAGTGTCTCCTGACTGACCTTTGGGGGAGAAATTGTTCCTAAGAACCAACCTGGCACCAGCTCAATCCTAGTGCAGCTATAACACAACTCAGTGCTCAACTGATGTTTTCACGATCTTTAAATACATATAAATAGTGACTATGTTGTCCCATAGCTAAGCTATGGGAATAAATAACATTTAAAGTCATTTCCTGACCTACTAGACATTACTAGATTTACCCTGTGCCCCATCTTTGTTCATAAATCCATTTCTCTATAAGCCCAAAGAACGTTGCCTATGAGAGGCAGCATTTTCATGGTGGTTTAAGTGCAGTCTCTGTGCTGGGCTCTTGGCTTTCTGTCACAGATGGGATGCAAGGCTGCACAACCATGACACGGTCTGGATTCAGAGTTCTGTTTTTCCATACACAGTTGATCACTGTATGGGTAAATCTCCCCCTCAAGGCCCGAACAGTGGAAGCCTCCTATGCCTGCAGTTGTCTCCCAAAATATCTAAGTTGTGTTCTGATCCTCGGTGTGTTTGCCCGGGGCAGGTGAACATCCCAGCACAAAGCAATGCTTGCTATGCAGCGTGCCGCCTGTGTTGCAATTCTAGTCACAGCCACGACGGGAAGGTATAATAATGGTGAGAGCCATTAACCCGGGCTGCTGCCTCCTGCGGGTTCCAATCAGACATTGGGTGGTTTCCAAACGTGTTTTCCAGCGTATAATTTTAGCATGTGCGTCAATAGAAAGCAGAAAGAAAACAGGATTCACTGCGATACAATTAGAGGGACCGCATCCCTGCCGCCAGCGGGACGACCCCAGCCCTCCCACTGCAGGGAGCAGCACCTGTCCCAGCCCCATCCCTCCTGCCCCTATAAGCACAGCACTGCGGGCAGCTCAGCACCCCGCTCACATCTCCCATCTCCAGCAGCCTGAACCATGGCCGAGGGGGAGATAACCACCTTCACTGCTCTGACCGAGCGCTTCGGCCTGCCGCTGGGCAACTACAAGAAGCCCAAACTCCTGTACTGCAGCAACGGGGGCCACTTCCTACGGATCCTGCCGGACGGCAAGGTGGACGGGACACGGGACCGGAGTGACCAGCACAGTAAGGACCGGCCGGGCTGCTTGGCTCTCCTGCTTGTTTGCATGCCCTGCATTGCTTGTTCAGCCTTACCAGCAGGAAGCAACCTGGCATGGGTGTGCAGGCAGCTGTGCAGCCGGGAGGGGCAGGCAGAAGGGATGCTGATTGCAGGGGATGTAATTGAGGGGTTAATTGCAACATGCAGGCAAGCAGGCAGCTGGAAGATCGGGGAGGAGCTGCAGCCCTGCGCACACCTGAGGCCATCACATCTGATCTGATGGCATCTCTGTGTGTCCCTGGGTTGGGCAGCAGTGGCACTTCACATGTGATGCTCTTGGGCAGCACGGCTGTGCTTCTCACACATGAATCGGGCTGGAGCTCGGTGTGCTGAATGTGTTGTATCTGTGTGCTTTGCGTGCAGCATCCTCTCATCTTCGATTCCTTCCCTTTCCCCTATGTGTTTAATTAAGTTCCTGCAGGATGCAGAGGTCAAAAGAGGCAAGAACAAGGCTGGCCTGGCCTCCTGCAGCAGCACCTTGCCCCCAGCAGCTCCTCTGGCTGAGCCCCTCCTTAGCATCCACCCTCATGAGGCACAAAGCAGCTGTGTGACACTGATGACACAGTTCACAGCTCTGTTTGAGAGCTTTAAGTTCTGGGGACCACTGCACTTCCAAAGTGCTCAAGAGGATTCAGGAAGCGGGAGCCCAAGGCAGTGGGGCTGGATTCTGCCCTGCTCTGCTCACGGTACTCAGCAGCACAGCCTGTTATTCCATATCCTAGGTGCTTACTGGAATATAACTGGGATCTGCAGCTATCCAGATCTCGTATCTAGTTAGGAAGGAGCACTGGGAGGACCCAATTGGCCATACGTATTCTAGGAAAACGCTTTTTTTTCCCCATTAAACCATAAGGACCCATGTGGCTTTCTCCCCAAGCTTAACCTTTCCTCGTGCTTCAATGAGCAGCAGAGTTCTGGGTACAAACACCATTCCCTGCTCCTTGCAGCATCCCAGCAGTGCTGGGAACAGCCCTGAGTCCCCACCCTCAGGCTTTCCAGCCCATTCCCAACCCCACCAGCCTGAGCCCTGCAGCCAGCATCTCCCCCCCACAGACTCTCTTGCTCCTCGCTGGCCGCCAGCCAGGCCGTGTGCTGGGAAGCCCTGCCAGCCAGGAACCCCCTGCAAACAATCCTGTAAACGTGGATATCTGAGCAGGCAAATATTTACAGAGCGAATGCAGCACAGGGCAGTGTGCCGGTGGGAGCTGCCCCTCTGGAAGCACTGCACTCTGGAGTCCTGCCCATGCGCTGCCACTGGCACCGCTGCTCCAGGGAAGTTCTTATTTTTATCTGACATCGCCTTGTCAGGTGCTAGGCACAGAATGAAAGAGGGTATCTAAGGGGAAAACAAAAAATCACTCATCCTAAGTCACTGCACCCAGCACTAATTCCATTCCTGGTCCTTCACTGCAGCGCTCAGCATCCCGAGCCTTCAGCATGAAGTGAAAAATAAATGTTACATGAGCATTTCAGAGTCTTGAGGAGGAAATAAGCCCATGTTCCTTTCCAACACCAGCCTTGCCTTACAGGGAAGAGGTAACAGTACTCCATGCCCCACTAAGGAGTAAATAAATTAAGAAAAGAAGGAAGGAGCTGGAGCTAAAGCACCCACTTGTGCTTCAGTCCTTGGGCACTGAGTGCTGGAGAGCCATCTCCAGGGCTGCTCCACTGCACCGGTCTGTGCCATGGGCTGGCACCTTACAGAACATGGCTCATGGGCATCTGCAGGATGTCTGCACTGCCTTCCCTCTGTCTGCTGCCCTTCTGCAGCTCACAGGAGGACCCAGCGCCTGGATGTATGACCCAGCTCCCCAGGGCGCAGACCCTGCCAGGCAGCAAGGCATGGTGCCCTGCAGTACCAGTACCTGAGGTCTGTCTGTCCTGAAATACTTCTTCATACGTCACTCCTTAACCATCTTGTCAAAAACCACAAAGGAAATTTGCAAATTAGAGTCAGAATTAAAACCCCAATTTCCTGTGTCCCATTCCAGCATCTTAACCAAAAGGCTGCCCTTCCTTTGATGTAAAATAGGCAAAAATTGGTCTTTGGTTCCCCAAACATGGCTGTGGGGTTTCTCTGAAGGGGGGGGCACGAGGAGATGTATTTATCACACTCTATACTGTTTCTCTTAAACTCATTATAATTCAGAACAGAAACACCTGGGCCATTATCTCTCACCACTTTCCCTTTTTCCATTTCCCTATTTTCCTTTTTACGTTATTGCTGTTGTTTTATTTTTACTTCCAGTTCAGCTCCAGCTCAGTGCGGAAGACGTGGGCGAGGTCTATATAAAGAGCACAGCGTCGGGGCAGTACCTGGCAATGGACACCAACGGGCTCCTCTATGGCTCGGTAAGCTGCAGCACACATACAGGAGCCCAGGGAGCAGGGATTCACCATCCCTGGGGCTGTTCCAGAACATGGAGATGTGGCATGGGGGACATGGTCAGTGGGCATGGTGGGGTGGGCAGGGGTTGGGGATCTGAGAGGTTTTTTCCAGCCTTAATGGTTCTGTGATTCTGTGATCTGGTGCCCAGGAGCTGCAGGACACAGAGTCACCAAAGATAATCCAGGTCTTTGAGACCCATTTATAGCAAAGCGCACGTCCCATATCCCTGTTGGTAGGCTTCTCAGCCTCACCAAGGAGCTGCTTTGCTCCCCACACTCCTGGGCTATGGGCATGGGACTGCAGAGTGAGCCAGGAGCGAGGCAGGAGCCAAGCCAAGGCCCGTCTGCACTGTGTGGTGGGCACAGGGAGCGGGCAGCAGCCCCCGAGCTGCATCCTGCCCCACGGCGCCCCTCTCACTGCCCCCCACGGCTCTTTTCCAGCAGCTACCAGGCGAGGAGTGCCTGTTCCTTGAGAGGCTGGAGGAGAACCATTACAACACATACATCTCCAAAAAGCACGCAGACAAGAACTGGTTCGTCGGGCTGAAGAAAAATGGGAACAGCAAGCTGGGGCCGCGGACTCACTATGGGCAGAAGGCGATCCTCTTCCTCCCACTGCCAGTGTCAGCAGACTGATTCCCATCCCACAGCTCACAGACACCCCGCCCCGGCGCCGGCCGCCCACCCCTGCTGCCCCTTCCTGGTGTTCCAATGAAGAGCCAAGCGTTAGAGCCCCGAGCTGTAGGTAAAGGCTTGAACCAAACCAGACCCGAGCCGCTCAGCCCTGCATGACCCTTCGCAGTGATGACAAGGAGCCTCAAGCACAGCCATGCACCAGGGATGTGTGGCTTCCAGCCCAGCTGCTGCTGGAACCCAGCACCCCTGGTGCTCTGTGTTACCCCATTTATCCATCCAAGTACGTCGCTGCCAAAATGCCTTCGAGCAACTTCAAACTGCACCGTTGTTCGTGTTACTGAGCAAAAAGCTTGCAGATAACTTCACCATACTAAGCCAAGCTAATGCCAGCCAGAAGCTCCAAGTCCTCAGCATCTTAACCTTCCTTAGAATATTGCTGTACCTCATGCCATGTTATTTGTATTTATTTATTAAGTCTCTTCCACAATCCCTTTGTAAGTGCACGTGGGCACCAAATGCCCTCACCCTGTCCTGGAGATGCTGGAGCAGAACAGGAGCAGCAGGAGTGCTGCAGTTCATGTGGCTGAGGGACGCAGTGAGATTCCTCCTGGGTGACAGCTAGGCTGGGGACACAAAGCCGGAGCTGCATGGCTCCTGAATGCTCTTTTCAGTGCTTCCTTCCCTACAGCCCCTCCTGCTAGGCCTGGCTTCCCGTATTGGACAGCAAAGGGAAAAAGGCAGTTTGGTCCATAGAGTAACATAACAGTGTTAAACATTCCATTGTTCAAACAACAATTCTAGGTCAGTGGTGAAAAGTGCCCCTCTTCTGATTAGAAAAGATGGATAATCGCATTCATTTTATTTTTGTATAATAAATCCTTGGAAACTGCAGAAGTGTGTGTTTGGTGGGAGCACTGCACCGCTCTGCAGTGCTTCTCATGGTGGTTGGGTGGGACACAGCATCAGGTGTGTCCTGTTGTACTCACTGTGAGCACACATAGAGATCAAGGGACCACAGACATCACTTCCCAGCTTTCAGTTACAACCCACAGCAGCCAAAAGGCACGCTTTTACTGTATCCATTAATTAAAACTTTTTAATTAAAAGAAAGGGGAAAGTAATGCTTGCAAAAGTTTACTCAGCACAAGCAACTTCCCCTCCTTCCCCTCAAAACAAACCCCAGCTGTAGGATACACCCCTGCATCGCAGGCAGGCTGGGTGCTGCTCCTGCACTGTACCTGCACCCATCCTGCAGCACTGCCTGATCTGTGCATCAGAGCACACCCTGTGCAACCCATGTCAAACACAACCCGATTACAAAAGGTCAGAGAGCAATGATCCGTCAGCTGTGTCCCCATCACAAGCAGAGCACAGGTACAACTACCTGAGTGCCCTTTACACCTCAGTGAGAGCAGCTGTGCTGTGTGGGGCTGGGGCAGGGCTCAGCGTGCCACAGGAATGGCACATGGGGCCCTGTGCAGGGTGTGGGGCAGGGCTGGGCCCTGCAATCTCCGCTCTCACTGTTCCTACAAACTTATAACTGCTTAATGGCAGTGCATAAGAGTTGAAGTCTGACATTTAAACTGGTACTTAGCAGCGCTGGACAGGCCTGAGTGTCTGCCAAAAGCCCAGCAAGGGCTTAGGGAAGGCAGGGACAGGAGGACACGGCCAGCTGTCCTATCCCATGCACAGCTCTGTGTCAAACTGGGAAGTGCTGCAGGCGATGCATTCAAGTGAGAAAGGAACGAGTGCATGCACAGGAGAGCCGGGATTCTAATTAAACTGGAAAGTTGGAAAGTGTAACTGCGGGTTGAGCTGTGCTGCCTCCCAACACCTCATTAACCACGGAGTGTTCCTCTCATTAGACTTCAGAAATTACCACCTCTGCAACACACTTGACACCCAAGTGGGGGAAAACATCAACACTTTGTCTGAAAAATAATCCCCGAGGAGGCTGCAGTGATGGCTTCAGACAGACGAGCAAGCAGGGATGGCGGATCCTGGAGAAACAACGCTGCGCTCGGAGAGCTTTGTCCTCAGGGTGAGAGGTGAGCGGAAAAACAACGCTTGGAAGACTTAACGAGAGTATTGCTCGAGGATCTTCCCCAGGAGGTGTGTGGCTGTGAACGGACAGCGCCGGTGCCGCCGCTCGGCCCGCAGAAGGGCGGCACACAGCGCGGGGCTCCGCGCTCAGCTCAGGGCTCCGCACCGCGGGCGCGCGGCCGGCACAGGGCAGCGGAGCGTCCGAAGTCGCAGCCGGCACTGCGCGAAGTGCCTGCAGCTTCTTTTTCCCCTTTAAATCTCACCCTTTACATTAAATAAACAACTCCCTGACGCGCTGCCAGTTGTTAGGAAGGAATGTAAATCTGGGTCTAACAGCTCCCATCCGCTCTCCGTGGATAACACGGAAATGCCCATGAAAGGTAAAGGCTGGGACGGGCTGCCCGCGCTCCCCCAGCCAGAGCCTGGGTCTCTTTTGCTGGAGAGAGATCGGCTCCGTCCCTCGGAAGCTCCTCTTCCACCGGCGATTTAAAAGAGAGCAGAACCCCCGAACGCCGCGCAGCCGCCCGCGCCCGGAGCCGCCATCCGCGCTCTCCCCGCCGTGTCCTCCCGCCGGCCGCCAGCAGGTGGCGCTGCCGAGGCGCTGTGCGGGGCCGCCCGGTCCGTCCCGCTCCGCCGACTCGGGGGGGATGCGAAGCGCCGATATCTGCGTCCGCATCGGGACCCCAAACGGAGCGGGAGGGCACGTCGGGGACACACGGTCCCATGGCGCAGCGCTGGGGGCACCTCATCGCCCCGTCCCTTCCATCTCTCGTGTCGGAGAGCCGGGAGCCCCCTCTCTCGTAGCAGCGCCCATCCGGAGTAATTACTCATGCGCTGGGGAACCCTCGCGATCAAGGAACCACATCCCCGCGGGGAGCAGGCAGGGAAAGAGGGTTGGGCTCCTGCGAGCCGGGATGGAGCCTTGAATCACACGCGGAACACTCATCCCACAAAGCCGCCTCTCCCTCCTTTTCCTTCAACCCAGAGGAGGCTGCTTTACCCATGAGACAGCACTCAGACCGAGCCTGAAAAGCCAAAACAACTGAAGCAAGGAAGCCTGAAATAATCTATTATTAAGCTCTGGGAACTGATGGGAATCCAAGCAAAAGGAAAGCTTGGGTTTCCGCAGCTTTTCTGTGGTTGGCATTTTGGAAAGCCTGCTGGAGGACACACACATCTCAACACTGGGCGGCCAGGGAGAGGGCTGCAGCCACGGCATTGTCCCCAGCATCATCCCCAGCACTGTGCCCCAACACACTGCCCCTCAGACCAGGGATCAGACACTGTGTCCATCTGTTGTTAAGCAATTTCCATGGTGAATGTCACATTAGGATGAGTGGAGGAACTCACAAGAGTTGAGAAAGCTCCTGCAAATCCTCCATCTCAAAGCACAGCCGTGGCCTCCCTATAGGTTTGCACAGGCTGGGCTGTCTGTAACACGCACAGCAAATTGTTCCGGTGGCTCTGGGTGACGGCTAACCTCCGCTCCCTGGTCAGGTCCCGGCTATGGGGAGCGCTGCTCACCGCCCACTCCCCTCCCCGGGCCCCCAGGCAGCTGCAGCTCAACTCGGCGCTGCGCCGGAGGCGGTCCCTCGGAATGCAGTTACCTGCTCCTCGACCCTTCCTGGCTCTCAGGCTTTTCCCTTCTCTGCTAACTTGGTGCTGCAGGAAACTGCTTCCCACATTAAGCAGATTGCCTGCACCAGCGCAGACAAATACATTTATCATGCTGAATTCCCGAGCCATTACACTGCGGAGTTTCCGGGATGTGAATCCTCTGTCTCTCATATCCTCCCCAGCCCCGTTTCCGGAGTGGGGCACTGTGCATTCATCACCCACAGCACAGAGCATCCCTCACCCGACTCAGAGCCCGACTGCACCGAGGGCATGAGCTGCAGCTGTGGGAATGCTTGGGATGGGCCCAAACCACTCCCCACCACCCTAAAGCCACAGTTTCACTGCAGAATGCCTCCTCTCCCTTTTTACAAGCCCAGTTTCCTCCCTTTGGAAAAATGGAACTAGGAAGGAGCATGGGCACCTGCATCCAGATGTAAGAGCCAACGTCCCCAGCATGGGGAGCTGCAGGGCCCACAGCTGAGCAGTGGCACAGGGCTGTTTCTGGGGAAGGAGCTCCATGCAGCACTGCAGGGCAGTGGCCACTCTCAGGGCTGTGCAGCCCCATCCACACGTTTCCATGTTGCATTTCAGATGTACCCGCTGCCTCTCGGGTGTGCCAGCAGTGGGCTTCTCCTCTGGGCTGTGCTGCCTAAAGCATCTGAAGCTCATTTGTCTTGCAGCTGAAGTATGTTTTTTCTTTCTGAGATGTGAACAATTTCTGTGGATCCATCTGGATGTTATTAGGAAAATGTTCCGGGTGCATGGAGGCTGCTGGCAGCTCCTCACTTGCTTCCTCTGTCCTGGGCATGTGAGGCAGGGAGCAACGCACACGAGGGGTTGGGGGTGTGGGTGAGGGTGCTGGCATGTGAAAGGCAGCATCCAGGTAGTGTGGATGGGTGCTGAGCTCCCAGGACATGCTCAGCACTGTGGGGCCACACAGGGATCGACCTCAGTAAAAAATGTGCAGATGAGAAGGGGAGCACAGGACAGGGACCCCACGCTGCCCAGCTCTTACCCTCCCCAGGCTGCTCCTCCCCAGGGCCCTCCAGATGTGCCAATCCCCTCCAGCACAGCCAGCACCATCCTCCCCTTCCCTGCACCTGGGGACAAAAGAGGGGTGTGGAGCAAACTGCACTTATACAAGGTCTCCTCACTGCTGAGTTTAAATTCATGTTGCTGCACCTCAGCAGCCCCCTCCCACTTGTTCCCCTCTCTCTGCACTTCTTCAGTTCAGCTCTTTCCCCTTCTTCTGTGCAGTGATTTGCAGCAGTTTCAGTCTGCTTGTACAACAGCACGAGTCCCTTGGGCCTCGGCTGACAGCTTCCACGGCTTCGGGTATGTTTTTATTTAGCCATTAGAGCTACATCCTGAATGTGGCTATAAAGCACATTTATCCTTTATGACTTAACTCGGTGCCAAATCCGCCCCGGCGATGGCTTGTGCTGGGGAGCGCCCGTGCTGTGTTTGCTGCAGGCTTTGCTGTGCTGGGCCTGCGCTGACAGCTGGCGCCAAGCTGGGGACAAAGAGGGGTGTGGGAGGGACAGGGGGGATCTGGGCAGCTGCAGAGGGTGCTTGGAACCGCCATGCCTTGGACACAGCAGCATCACCATGGGCACAGTGCTGGTGGAGCAAAGTGCACGGCTGGCCACGGTGCCTGGTCCTGATGGCCACGTGGTGCCTGAGAGAAGGAACCAGCCCTTCCGAATGGTGACTGCAATTTCCAGTTGGTCACATGTATTGAAGTCACACCTTGAAAGCAGGATGAAGAGCGGAGGAAGGAATCACCAAGGCACGGCTGTGCAGTCCAAACAGTGTGAGCTCCTTGTGCTGCTGGATGCTCATTTTCAGAGAACGTGGCCTCAAGCTCAGGCCCAAACTCTCCTCTCCGAGAGTACTTCCAAAGCCAGATGCAACGCAGTGGCACCTGAGTGCAGGCACTTCTCACCCAGGCAGACCCATCCTCATGTGGCTGTTCAGTTTTCCTCATCCAGGTCCCTCCGAGTACCTGGCAGCATTCTGGGAGCGAGTGGGGGAGTCCAGAGATGGGCCTCCATGCTGGGTCCCTTTCACTGAGAGCAAAGCTCTCCTGAAGTGCTCTCCACATCCCCAACCCAGCAGCACGCAGGAGCGTTGCTCAGATGTCATTAAACCCATTTGGAACCCCTTCTGTCTCTGCAGTGCCATCTCCCTGTGTCCAGCAGCCCCAGGCAAAGCTGGCGTTTCCTCACAAG